ACAAAAAAAGCYTGCTTTGGTACATGACCCATGTTTGCGTAGAGTCTACACACATTCTGTTTTACTTTTTTAACTTGCACTTGTTGGGATTAGTAATAGTTTTTTTTTTTGATAACTTACAAACTTGCCTCAAGTTATCAGGTATCCAAAGCTCTACCCGTTCATTTTCCAGTCTCACGTGGCAATCTGCTGTAGAACCAGCAGTTTGGTTTGACAGCTGAAGATGTCACCTTGCTTCTCATGAGTGCCACATTTTACCTCTCACTGCTGCGACGTGTGCAGTGTAAAGGGGCCATCAGCCAGCACAGCAGCATTAGATGATTGAATACCTTATGGAAGAATGGTGCTCACTCATTTGAAAGGACTTGTAATGACCCAGTACACATTCACCTTTGTCTTTCAAAACATTTAGGGTTTATGAATCACCATCTTACCTACATAATCTTTGCTGGAAGAATCTGTTTTTAAAAAAGGCATTTTACTGAAGACTGGAGTCATGAGATAATTGTAGTTTATGTTCAWAATTTAAATAAGTTTAATGATCAGCACAGATTTACTAACCACACTATGGTGGTAATACMTTAAATAAAGAAGTCAAAGATTTCAGTCTGTGGCCAAAAATACACCATAGTTATAACTGTGTACCTGAACAAGGAGTTTAGCATGAATTCAGGAATGTTAGCATGACAGGTGGGTCTCTGACTCTCATTCCCTCATTAGGATTTAAAATAAATTTTCTCACTTCAGCAAAAYTMATGTTTAACTGGTCCAGCACTATACATGAATAAAACTAACATATGGCAGCGTGATGGCTCAGTGGTTAGCACCGACGCCTCACAGCAAGAAGGTCCTGGGTTTGATCCCCAGATCAGGCCTGTGCTGGGMTCTTTTTATGTGGAGTTTGCATGTTCTACTTGTGCTTGCATGGGTTCACTCTTGGTGCTCCGGTTTCCTCCCACAGAATAACGTACAATAAATTGCCTTCAGGCCCAGGACTCCCTTGTAAAGGAGAATTCAATGGGATTTGCCTGATTTAACCATWAAAGGGACTATATTATGTGTTTCTTCACATTTAAATACTATACCATAATAAAGTTTCTATGTCACCTTTTGTTGTTATTAAAATGCTGTTTTAATGTTTAAATAGAAAATAAACTTATCATTCATCACTTCCTCTTCTAAACACCTTGAAATTGGCCTCTGTCTCTTTAAGAACCACGTTCTGCTTCAGTCCTGTCCATTTCGGGTGGGGGGTGGGGGTGGGCGGCTCGCGCATGCTCTATGAGATGGAGTTTACTTGTCATCTGAAACTACATTTCCTCAAAGGTATTTTGAATCTGAAAAGAGCTTCACTGAGTGAGACGTAATGTTAGGAGCTCAGCAGACAGTTTCAGTTTCACTTTCAGTTTCACTCGTTTGCTCTGTTACTGCCGAGAGCCTGCAGCAGTCATGGACGGGGTGTGTGGTGTGTGGGGTGGAGGGTGGGGAGGTGTGCTCCGTGATGAGGAAGCTCGACTTAGAGACACGTCCCAGGGGTGTTTCTGGTACCAAAAGGTGTTTCTGGTCCCAAAAGGTGTTTCTGGTCCCAAAAGGTGTTTCTGGTCCCAGAGGTGTTTCTGGTACCAAAAGGTGTTTCTGGTCCCCACCTGTCATTTTGCTCCTCAGCATGGCTTTCTAAAAACACTGCAGGATTTCTCAAACATGCATGAATGAGTCAGAGCAAGGC